AAGCATCTGGCGCAAGCCAATTTGGGTCTGAGTGAGATTTGATTGTTCTCGTCTCCGCATGATGGTACGGTCAATGATCTTCATCAGATTGTCGTACGATCGGTCTTCATGATTGTAGGGCAAGTGTTCGTAGTGCATGCCCAACTCCATCTTCATTGCGGGCGAGTCCTTGATCTTGCTGTACAAGCAATCACGGAGAGCTGTTTTGGATGGTATGTCTTCTGGCCTCATCCGTCCCAGAACTTCCAACCACGTCTGCTTGAACGTATGAAGCTTGTTGTCGCCTTGGTACTGGAGCTTCACCAGATACTCGAGAGTGATGATCATGTCGAGACGATCATGCGTTCGAAAACTTTCATACATCATCGCAATGATTTGTCGTCCTTTGATGATCTTCCCTTCGGGCCTGCTGATGTAATCGTTGGCCTTCCGGTTCACCTCCAGGTACAGGTCAGCAGATTTGTCACCACCAGCGCGTAGCATTGCGACCATTGCGATCCCCAATTTGACGTCTACGCTCTTGAACTTCTTGTGTCCTGAATCGTTCAGTGCTTCGACATCAGGGAATGGGTTGAATGCTGGTGCCAGCCATAACATCCAGTCCTCATGATTTGGATCGGCTGATGCTCCTAAGACATTCGCCGTGCATACGGATCGCCAGTTGTTGAGGTGAGTGAGAGTAGGCCATGGAGGAACGGTCACTTTGTCGGCCTCCCTCCTGGAAATTCTCACCTCAGTGACTCACTTTGTCGGCCTCCCTCCTGGAAATTCTCACCTCAGTGACTTCAGGATCTGCGTCTCCGTCAGGATCACGCGCATGAGAGCCAGGATCCGATTCAGGTTTGCCTCCACCGCTTCTCTTCTTGTCATCATCATCATCAGGCGGGTCTGGAGGATCATACCCCGTGCCGGTTCCTTCATCATGCTCTCCATCTTCATTCTCGTCGCCAGCTTCGTCACCGTCATCGTCTCCATTATCCTCCTGAATCGTTTCAGCGAATAATCTCCACTCATCACGATCAGCTCTGAGACGCTGTTCGGCTTTCTGAGCCTTGAGTACTTCGCTTCGCAGATCGGCAATCTTCTCTTCGTACCGTTCCGCGACCTCTTTCTCGATCTGACGTCTCCTTGCTTCATGGATGGAATCGTCATAGGCAATAGGGGGACCAATGAGGTCGTTGCCCTTCGTAGATGCGGTGATGCCGTCGACACCAACAGGTCTTGAGGAGCTGGCAGATGCTGTGGATTTCGATCCCAACATCCCGCGATCCTCCAAGAGTTCGCGTAGCTGTCGATCACGCACGGCTGCCGCATCACTTTTCCCATGAAACCCGCTTGGTATGCCAAACAGAGTGGCTGCACTAGGCGTGGAACGCGCAAGTGCTGGGCTGCTAACACCTGGCACGTAGTGCTCGGGCATTGCATCCGCCACGATTGGCATTGAGTTGCGGCCAGTGAAGAAGTTTCCACCAGTAAATGGAATTCCATCCATCACAAGGTTCTTGTCCTTGTCCGATTCCGAGAATGCGAACTTCTCTTTGGCGACTGGACTAACTTGACTTGGGGACCGTATTTCAGGGGATCGTACCTCACCTCCTACGGAAAATGCAGGCACTACTTCCTTTCCTACGTGCTCCCAGCCAGACTCAGTAGTCCTCGAAGACATGGGCATGCTCGAAGGCCGTGTCGCTCCGCCATAGTTGGAGTTCCGCGCTGCCTCCAATTCGCTGCGTGTCCTCGCTTGAAGATCTTCTTGTGCTTTGAGCGTTTTCCTGAGTTCACTCAGCTCGTCGTGCAAGGTAGGCAATGCTCGCCTTGCATGATCTTCATTCTGATGAAGTCGGTCCTCTGCATCTTGCATCCTCTTCACAGCCATTTTGCGGTACTCTTCCTCTTCACCAAGACGTTCGCGAAGCCGAAGTCGTTCTTGATCAATGGCTGCGCTGTTTCCAGCTAGCCCTTGGATCTCGTTCACGGCCCGCAACTCCTGGTTCTTGACCAAGTGGAATCGTTCCTGCATTGCTTGTAAGGCTTGTTCCGAACTTGCTGTGTTCGACCGGAGGAACAAGTTCTCTCTGGCATGTTCATGAAGTTCATGAGTCAGACGCTCATACTCACGTGCCATAAGCTCACCATCGCCTTGCGCTCTTGCCTCCAACTGCACAAAGTTAGTGGCTGCTTCCGTGCGGAACACGTGTAGCTGTTGAGCTAACTCCTCGGCAACGGCATGTGCTTGACGTTGTTGAGCAGAGTTCTGTTCATCCATGCGAAACAAAGCTGTTTCATAGTCTCGCTTCATCTCCTGATTGACATTGTTGATGTGCCTCATGGCTAAGCATGCATGGTCACGTTGTCGTTCCAATTCTTCAATGCGAATTCCAGATCCTTCATCTTCTTGTTGCATCTCCTTGATCTTGTCCATCAGGGTCTGGACGACTCCTTCGTACTCTTGCATCTGACTGCGATAGTACATCTGCTGCGCAAGGTTCGATGCTTCGAACTGTTGCGAAATCGTCAGCTCCTGATAAGCATTCGGACCATCGGCTATGGCTGGCGTGGCCACCGATGACGCATCACCACGTGCTGGGATAGTGTCCAGAGTCATATCCAGATCGTCAGCATCGCGTGGTTGGTTGGTAACCATCCGATTCCAAGTCATGGACTTGTCACGCCCACGAGTAGCCGAAGTCCTTGATCGTGCTGAAGAGCTTCTCGAAGATGATGGTCTTGACTTCTTTTCCAAGGTCTTCACTCCTTTGTCCTTGGCCCTGGACGTAGTCCGAGGTGCCTGAAAACCAGACGCTTCGGCTCGTCGTTCGGGAGCCTTGCCCGTCCTCGAACCTGTGGATGTCGGACGCGAAGGCGTAGATGCTCTTGGTAGACTCTTTGCTTTCACCTTGGGAACTGCCTTTGCAATGGCAAGCGCAGAAGATTGACCTTTGTCATCTTCCGTGGAGCTATCAACGGATTGCACCACTGTGTCATCAGCTGTTGACTCACCAACGGCTGGCGCTGCCACATCGGCACCGAAAGTCATTGTCGTATCTTGGCTTGATCCCGAGTTCATTGTGGTCGTAGTAGATCAAGTAGTCGTTGCTGTAGAAAGGCAGAGCCGCGTACGGCTGATAACCTGCGTGGGGGATTGATCTCGACTAGGTTGCTGCTCTCCCCACCAGAGCTGTAATGAATGTAGGTGTGGCTGGCTTGCACTCTCCACAGACTGGACCCTGTCTCTCTCACACTTCCACACGTGCAATCCTATGCAGGCAGAACCGGCGGCCGTTCCTTTTGCACTCACTGCCGGCGGCGGTTCGTCTGTGCAACGGGATAGCTCTGATTGCTCAGGATAGAAGACACTTATAGCACTTAGCTATGGGCATTGACTTGAGCCAAACGTTGCGTGGGCGGTCACATAGAAAGGTAAAGATGAGGGACGCGTAGCGTGCCCCCTTAGAGTCGAGGGACGCGTAGCGTGCCCCCTTCTCTTGCACTTTACACGGTCTTGCTCACAGCTCTTATAGTGACACCTTAGAACTTGACAAGGTATCGCAGTCCGTTCGCAAAAATATATTTTTATTTAGAAATAAGATATGAAGATATATAAGAAATAATACAAGAAAATATTAAGATGATAAAAATGATTTTTCTTATATGAAAAAAATTATATAATATCATAATATAATTTTTCTTTTATACGCTAGTAAAAGAAAAGGCGGTGGGAGCGACCAATCTATATTGTGTGGATCAATTTTTTTTTTGTTTATTTATTTATATCTATATATATATATATATCAATGATTTTGAATATAGATAGAAATCTCTAGGATAGATATATCTCTAGAGTATTGACTTACGTATAACGAATTATCTATATGGTAGGCGAATAAGCGTGAATTTAAAAGAAAATAAATATATTATATATCTATATAATGAACTAGAGATCGCGTAGACTAAACAGAGCGAGAGACGTGGAAGGCGGCAAGTCAATAGATTAGTAGAATAATAATAATTAAATCCTCAGAAAAAACCTTAAAGATCAGAAAATTATTTCTTCTTAATATATCTAAAACTAAAAAATAGAAATAAATAGATAAATGAAAAGTAGATATATATATATATAGACCAATAGAGATATATATAATGGATATGATAACGAGATAATACTAAAAATAAATATTATTCAATAAATATATATATATATATATCAAATAATATCCTATCCTTCCAGACCGCATCGCAAAGATTTAGATTGAAACCTGGAATCAAATAGCCGAGATCGACACTACGCAAAACGCCCGCGCATTATCGGGCCCTAGGAACCCCGGGAAAGAAGCCCTCCCCCGTCCTTATTAAATATTGTTCTAAATAATTTAAGGTTTGATGCTCAAGCAAATCGGTTTGTACGGGCTGCCTACCTAAGCTGCTCGCCCGCCGACGTAGCCCCTACAACAAAAGAAAGAAAACTTGAGAACCAAATCTAGAAAGAGAGAGATAACAGAGAAAGAGAAGGAGAGAGATGAACGACAGACAGACATATGGACACAGACCGGCAGGCAAGTAGGCAAAGACATAGATAACTGACAGATATGGACAGACAGACACAAAGATAGACGGGCACACAGATTGATAGACAGAGAGATGACATACCCAGAGGTGGGTGTGGGAAGGGAGGCCCTCTAGAAGTGCGGACGGTTGGGCGGAGTATGTGTCTCTGCATCTGTACGGGGTGGGTAGGGTGGGTGAGTGTAGAAGCAGGCAAGCAGGCAAAGACGTGCAGACGACGACAATGTCCAAGCAACCAACCAGCCAGGGAAGCAAGCAGCCAGGCAAGCACAGAACAATAAAAGATGTGAGATTCGATAACATATGAACTCTGTAATTTATGAACTGCAGCTTTAAATCTCGAACAACCCAAGATAAAATTCTTGTTGGATTAGAGAACCGGATGCGACTACTGATGCGACTGCTCTAAGCAGTTGTATAAGCTTTTCTAGTTGTTTTCAATGTCTCGCTAGACCACAGGAGATATCAAGACCGCAGACGCCAACCTTCCTCTTTACCTCGGCAGACGGCGCACCGAAAGATGCTTGCCCTCCCAAGCTCCATGAGCAGTTCTTCGCACTATTATCCTGATTATTACTGTTACTACTAGTGTTGTCCCTATTCTTTGACACAAACCAGTAGCTCTCGGCCTCGCCTGCCTTAACTCTGCGACAGCTGGGAACTGCACGGTGCACCTCTTGGGGTCGAAGGCCTGGCGTGCAGATAATTGACAGGAATGGCAGATCCGCGCAATAATGCTGCCTTCGAAATACGGGAGCTCGAGTCGAAACGCGATGCATTGCAGGCTCGGTTCTGGGTGAAACTGTACCGAAATGAAGTTTGGGCGTGGATAGGGCAAGGCGCTGTAAGCTGTAAACCTTAACCCCTCATCGGTCACTCAAAACTTCAAAACTCCTCCTCTCCGGCCTTGCAGAGGCTGGTGCACTTGGGGTGCAGCATGTCGAACTTATCTGCCGCCACATTGACAACAGGTCCCAAGCAAACCGCCAACTCCTGGCACCGCGGGACCACTCGCATGAGTTGAGTGAGAGGAACGGCTCAATCCTCCAGGGCACCTCGCGGTCTTTGTCTTCCTTCGCAGCGCCTTTTAGCAGCGCTCCGACAGTCAGCTTGCTGGGTCGAAGAATGCACCTCAGAGATGTTCGGCGACGAAACCGACAGGGTCATCAAACTGATAGTTGTATAGTTGTAACATACTGTCTGAGTAATATATGTTTTTCATAACAAGGCCATCACGAAAAGTCGATCCATCAGATCTGATCCTCTAAGGACCCCACGGATCGATGAGGAGGAGGCTGCCATCCTCTTCCTCAACTCCCTGCGACAGGAGTTGCAGCTTGGATTCGGATCGCCGTGCTCTTGGCCGTGTCAAAAGTACTCACAGCTGAGTGAGGTCGTTAAAAGTCATTAAAAGCAGAACCTCGTCAGCCAAGTGCAGTAAGCTTCTTGCACCCGGTGGTATGCAGTGTTTGTTTGGGTTTTGTAGTCAGCTGAGGATTTCAAGGGGAAGCCCCTAAACCCTAAACACGAAACTCAAACAATTATCAGCTGGCCTGAATGTCACAGACCAGCTCCTTGCCATTGGAGGAGAAAGCGGAGTGATGGAAGAAGGCCTTCCCATCATTGTGATGATAAAGTGTCTCTGTTGGTCTTATCGTCTTACGATTATGTTCGTCATTGTTGTTCTTGCCATTCGTGTTACCATTGTTACTGTTGTTGTTGTTATTTTGTTATGCTATTGCCAGTGCTGCTGCTATTGCTATTGTTAGTGCTAGTTCTAGTGACAGCTTTTGTGCTTGTGTTAGGGTTAAGCGCAGGAGCGGAGCAACGGAGCATCGGAGCAAAGTGTGTTTAGCCGACGCCGCAAGCGCCTGCAGCGTCATGACTAGTATTATTGGTAATACCTGAGGATTCACGAAACATGCCTAGAGTCGATGTCGTGTCATGGGGAGTGGGATAAGGGCAGGTCTGCTCGTCCCGCACTTGTCCATAATCCCCAAATTGAGTCAAAGTTCTCACTGCATATTTGGCCAGGCTTTGAACTCTCTAAAACATCTATGATTTGAACTTGTCTTCAGGGGCTGCAATGTGAAACTGGTATCTCACTTGCGCAGCACAGCATTTCCCACCTGCATCTGTTTCCTTGCATCTGTTTCACGTTCGCGGCTAGAGCTGACGTAGGCGAAGACGATGGGGAGGACGACTTCGAGCTTGCCTCGCACAACACCTTCCTCGGCTATCGCGAGATTCTCGCGATAGCCGAGAATGTGTTGTCCGTGGCAAGTTCGAAGTGGACCATTTCGTCTTCTCCTCCGCTAGCTGTAGCCTCGTTAGCCGAAGGGCTCCTTACTGTGGGATGGCTGCGGAGGTGGTTGAGGCGGAAATTCCGTCAGGAGCATAGCGATGCTTGTGCACCGCCCGTAGCTCCACGCAGGCCCGAATACTACGGATGAAATGTCTCGTTTTGTGAATTTTGCATGCTGCCGCACACGTGGTAAGACAATTTCCAAGGCAAGGAGCATTGGAAGTTGCGTTGCTGTTATGTGCTCCCTTTGCAACCGCCCCTGCCACGGCTGTCGCGCACGTCTGATATTGACAAATCATGCAATGTTAGCCAAACAACTGAACGTTTGAAAAAATCGAAGCGGTGCAAATCATCACCACCGTCAAGCTCGAAACGGCTAAGAGCGCACAGCCTTGATCCTCTGCTGCAGTCTCAGCAACAGTCCATCACGAGCAACCCATATTGCCCCAACATCGGATTGTAGAGCTGGCCCTCACATGGCACGAGCCACTAACAGCATGCGGCGCGAACCTCTGGAGACAGTAAAGACTCAGATCGGTGCGGCTGCTCTTAATGGTGGCGAACAAGATGTCACTTCCGGGCGTCATGTCGCAAGGTGATGATGCGACAGACAGGGAGGGAGAGAGACAGAGAGACAGAGACAGAGACAACAGTGTTAGAGATAGAAGAGACAGAGACAGAGATTAGAGTTTAACACGACAGGAAGGAGAGAGAGAGAGAGAGAGTGTGTGTGTGTGTGTGTGTGTCTGCCGGATGAGATTCATGTGTGCGGCTCAGCGCTCTGCGACCGTGCCTGGGCAAGCTCCACGAAGTCTTGGCAACCATTGAAAACAAACTTTCGGACCTCGAAGTCGCGTCGGCAGCTAACGGCTACAGGTTTCGACATTCAAGTCTTCTCCGGCCTCGGGGTCCGAATAAGGCCACAATGTGCAGTACGCTCCTTGGTCGCTAAGGCCGCAGATGGAGTGATACTTCTCTGCTGCTTCACAGGTTTCTCGAACTCCGCCGCTGTGCTAAGGGACCAGCCAACCGGAAGCAATGCGGGGAAGCTGGTTTTGACCACTCGGCATGCAACTGGGGCAGCCACCTCGCAGAAGGCACGCTTGCCAAGAGCAGGTATGCAAGCGCCAGGTCAAGCCCATCAGCTACTGACGAGGCTCGCATCTCACACTTCATGGCCCAAGTCACCCTTCTTTCCCGTCTTCCATTCGAAGTGGAACATGGCATCAAACAAAGCTGCACCTTGACACACGGCAGCTGCTCGTCTACTGCCTCGCCAGCTTCTCGGGCATGCTCACCTTCGGATTGTCGTGGAACAACAAGAAAGCAACAATACTGCTACCGCTGCAATCATTCAAGCTTGCATTCTACCAGTAGCAAGTGTCTGGCGCTGCGTCGACCGCCGTCAGCAGAGCCGAGCCCCGTACGACTGTACAAGTTGAAGCGATGAGCGTAGGAGCCTGCGCTTTTGGCATCCTCGCAGGTCAACGCAGGTGTCGACACGTCCCCTGGTGCGCTCTGTCAAAGTTCATCCATGGACCGAATGCACGAGCCGCCGCCAATCACACATCCATGCAAGCTGTCGCCGCAATTTCTCGTGGTCACAACACTTTATCAGAGCTCGGGAACCGATGGGCGAGCCTCCAAGTCCCATTTCACGGCATCTTCGGTTCTTTCCTCTGCACGTGTTGCCATCTGCAGCACGTATGCCTCTCACATGCGCAACTCAGACCGGCACACGACAGCTTCCCAAATGGCAAGTAACTTGTGACTTGTGATCCGGCCTTGTCCGGGGCGAAGGCCTCCGTCAAATGTAACCAGACCATTTGAAGTCAAGCTGACGACACGGACAAGATGCCAAGCTGCACCGGTGCGAAGCACCACCGTTTTCCCTGATCCATCTGAGCCCCCGGCGATGGAGGCTCTCCAAGATCTCTTGGATGCCTGTAGTAGCGCTGCGGGTGCGACATTCCGTGCCTTGCAGCCAAAGCTTCTCGCATGGACCTGGAACCGGTAGTCATCTGGCCAGGTGGCTCGGACAGCTTCACTGTACCTGGAAGTCTGAAAGACAATACCATCTCCTCGCACGATCGTAGGAGCAAGGATGGAATCTGACTCCAATGCCTCAAGCTCAGGGCTTCGAAGCCAGACTCGGTCGATAGCTTGGTCACCTGTCGGGTTATTGCTGCAGCGAAGGAACGTAGTGATCTCTCAACATTTTCTCTGACATTCGCAAATCCGGCCCTGCAGCCTGAAGCTGCTGGGCCTCTTTGAACCCGCTCGGCCTGGGAAGTTGCAGCAGTCTCTGCAACTGAACATTGCTGAAGGGTTTAGGCATCTGCTCTCCCCAACCTGACCCCGCGAGAATCATCTGCCGCAGTGCTCACGACTTCCAGGATCAGCTCCTCGCCACAGATGACATCGAGGACAATCATCAATGCGAGATTGGGTTCTGCAGAACGTACTAGAACAGTGTCTAGCTGCCATCACTGCATGGACATGGCACCAACCTGTGCAAACTTAATTCTCAGATTTCAGGCAGCGCAAGGTCAAAACGATCGGCCGGTTCCAACACCCAAATGTGAACGCAGTTTAGCCAGTGACCTCCGCGTCTCCGTCGGCGATGCCGGAAAAGAGTGCTCCTCGCAACGAAACTCTGAGACTGATGCCCAGCTGGTTGATTGTCTCACAAGGTCTGCAGCACAGAGAAGACGTGATGCGCCAACACAGACATCTCGCCTATAGCTGAAGTGTGCTCGAGGCGAACACCACATGTTGCCCTTAGAGTCTGCAAAGGCTGACTGACACTCCACGCTGAGACGTGAGGCCAAACACACACAGACACGGCGAAGGGGAACATATCGAGACGGCTTCTGGCACCGGCATTAGGCCTTTAGGGCCGCCAGCTGAGGGCAAGACAGAGCTGCACCCATCGAGCTGCTGTACTGTCTGAGACTATAGGCTGCACTCTGCGTGCTCACGTCGAGTTTTGAAACACAGAGACCTGCATTCCTCAGCTTCGGGATCTACTGGGGTTTCAGGGTTGCAACGGCTTGGGGTGTCGGTTGGAGTGTGGGGCTACCTTCGGTCTTCGCAAGCAAAAGGGCGTGTGGCTTGAGCAGCGGTCGGCATACAAGCTTTCGGGCAACAGACAGATCTGGACATGGCATTCCACTCTCGCAGTGGCAGCTATGCCCTTTGACTGGTTCTGCTCGTATCCGCTTTCACGTGGGGTCTCCGGAGTTTGGATCACCCCTGCCATGAGGCTGTACATAGGAACTGAGAAAGCATGCTGCCAGCATACGCACACTTAAAGCAGAGGGATGCGTAAAGAGTTTATGCTATGCTGTGCTGCGAGTATGCTATGCTGCCTTGCTCCAGTGGCACTGTCCTGCCTCCCCAGCTCCACGACCGAGGTCATGGCCGAACTCTAAGCTGCTGTTCTGTGGTGACACCGGCCACGTCGGGTTCAGTTTTGAAGGGGTGTACTCTGTGGAAGGTCCTTCTAGGATGGGGTGCCCTCTCGTAGTTGCCCCCAACCAGCCGCACAAAGTTGCAGGCAGCGCTGCCCGACTCTTTACCTGGCACTGAGCGAAGACCGGCACAGGCCAACAAATCAAGGCAGGACAAGGCAAATGCAAAGTCTGACATACGCAGAATACACCGGCATCCCAAATGCCAGGCACACTCTTCCTTGACCACATCCGTGTATTTTGGCACCTTTGCCAATAGGTCATCCTCCGCAAGCATTCCGATTCGTCAACTATTTGTGGCTGTCATCGCACAAGAGCATCTTGAGAGCAACTGCTTTTCTGTCCTTTATGGCACAAGCCTGTTTGATGTAGGGCCTGGAGCAACCCAGGCTGCGTCGATCCGCTGGCGTTTGAAAAAAACACAGCTAGCAAAATGGATTTGCTGGGGGCTGCACCCGACATACTGATGCAGCTCTGCATTCTTGGCCTTCCACACATAAGGCGCCACCTGAAACACAATTAGGACAACGTTGATTCGCATGCCATCATCTTGCCGTGGTGAGTACTGCAAGTCAAAGCTGGGGCAAGCACGAACAGCACGTTTCCTATCATCCAGACGAAGAAAAAGGCACCTGCCATGAGAGCTTTGCATAAACTCCGCGTCTAGCAACAACAGAACTGTTGCACAGTCCTGGAGGAGTCTGGCTAGGTTCGGCAAGGGCACAGAAAAAATGACCTTTGGATGTGAATTGATTTACGTAAGCCGATCATGAACCTGTCGGCTCAGAAGCACGTCAGCTTGGCCAAAATAGGGCGAGACGAGTCCTGAAACGAACAGATGCTTACTCTCTTCGTAGCCCTGTCGGTAGACTTAATGGATCCACTTGCTGTGAGGCTGGAGCTCACAAGCTGCAGGACGAACACGGCCTTTGACGGAGCAAGGAAGACGCCCGCGGGTTCTAGACTAGAGGCTCTGGAGTTTTTGTGGCAGCGGCGCTGCAGCTGTTGATGCAGGAGGCTATAAGTAAGGTCCTGACTGTAATGGTCATCTCCGAGCTAGTCCACAGGACAACGTCACGCACCTGCCGAAAACGGCTTGGAACACAAGAGCCGAGCTTGTTCGCAGGCCTTTTCTGAGATCACGTTTAGGAACTTCGAAATGGTCTCCACTGCGCTCTTGATGGCATCCTGTACGGGTACGGACCTCCCTTTCCATTTCAATATATTTCAATCAGATCTGCATGAAGCGACAGAAGCCGTGTGGTACTGGTAGCTGGACACTGGCATCTCCTGGGAGAGAAGGTCCACATTCCGATCAGCTGTCTGCGGTACTGCATACCTGGGTCTCGCAATCTCTTTCACGGGCGGGAACGTCGAATGCATTCGATCGCTGGCTCGCCGCGGCTCGCCTGATTGCACCACCAGCCAGTAGCACCACGGTGAAGATGTGGCACAGTGCTGGAACCAGCCTTGGCAGTTCATGGAAGGTGATCTGCGAGTGAGCATGTCTAGTCTGAGACGACCTGAAGCTTAACCACAAGCCAATTCGATATACGCTGGCGACTCATATGCGAGCTGAGTTTACAGCACCTGAGGCATCTGCGACAAGTCCCAGTAGAACACTGCCAGGAAGAAAATGTTGAACATGCTGAACACCGCACCTTTGCAGCGGAAGCTGTGGAGATTCAAGCATGGGTGCCGAAACATCACAGGATGCCCCCCTGCAAGGCCTACTACAGCCTTCGGGCTCAGAAGCCATGAACCAGCTTCAAGCTCCCCAAGCGCATCATCCCGAGGACCCCCGATTGTTACCCCCCTGTTGACGCTTACGACCGCGTGACTGGCAATACAGACACTCAGTCCTTAGCTGGTCCATGACTCTTGTGATCCCTTGCATTCTCTTGCGCATACTGTGTCTCTAAGATTCTTGCATCTTTGTTGCCGGCAGTTCGGGGGGAGCAAAATGCCAATGCATTACAGTACAACTTGAGAGGCCTGCACATGTTTAATTTAAGTCTAGGTCTCACTGTCCGGGAGAGCCCTCTAGGACATCCAAGGAGTCCGCGGCAATGTCCAAGCAAAACCCTTGCAACGGTGCCTGTGACAGCCGGGCGCTCCCACCTGGCGCATGGGCGCAGCTATGCGACAAGGCGAAAGCATCTGGGGATCCCACGGGGGGTGATGCATGCGCGGCTGAGACCACTTTGGCACTGCGACCTGTTACGCACCCAACGGAACCTCGCAAGTCGTCCCTACAAATTTTGGGGAGCTGGAGGCTTGAAGGGCAGGGACTCCTCCAAGTCTCTCAACACCCTGTTTTTGCAGGCATTTCTCCCGCGGGTCGATCATCCAGGAACCCGACCTGGTCTGCTTTAAACAAGATCCAGGATCGCTCAAGTTCACTGTGTGCTCCGCTTCTTGGACTTCGTAGCGTGTGTGATATCAGACCCGCGAGGGCTTTCTGCTGCAGGTCGGCGATCGGAACCGCATGTCCACGCCCTTAAGCCCGCCCATAGCTTCACACAGGCCCGAATACCGTCGACATGAGGATCTTCTATCACGGGGGCAGCATGCGCGCAAAGCTCAGAAAATTTTGGCAAGGCGACCTGCTATGCGGCCCAACGAAAGCTCAACAGTTGACTGCTGTCTACCAACACCTCTTTCACAACCTGACCCTTCCCTCCTTCCTGGTCGGGTGCCTACGCGACTGGGTCGAATGCAGCACGCACTTCACGCTGGATGCAAACAGGGCGGCGCGGCATCAAAACATCGGACTCCCACAGGAGCTTCGACATGGAACCCTGGAAACAGGCCGGTCTCTGCATCAAACCACTACACATTGCTCAGCGTCCTGCCTTCTCCATGGCCCCCCAAGGAAAATGCAGATGGAGGGACTCAGACCGGCAGTCGTGGCTGCAGACTGGCGAGAACGTAGCTGCAAGATGCATGCTTCAAACTTGGCTTCATGAGCATATGACCGTTGATAAGCACCTTTGCCAACACACTGCTATGTCACTTGGACCTGTGGCTTTTGGCTGCCCTTCTTTGCCGAAAATCACTCGTTCGGAGTCTCGAGACTCTAGTCATCCAACTCCATCACGACGCCGGCAAGAGCAGCCGCCTGCAAAGACTGTGCTCGGTGCAGCTAGCAGAGAGGCCGGACACGGTGTGCTGCGCTGCTGTCAATGCGCACTCTGGGGGCAGCCGAAAGGTGGCTCCCAAAAAACAAGAGACAGGAGTTGCACTCAGAGTCTTGCCTTCCCTGGCCGGACACGCACCTTCCTCTTTGAGGCCACCTGCCATCGTGGTCAACACAGCCCTCCTCATATCAATCTCAAAATCAGGATTTACACTGCGAGGATCCTTTTTGTCATTTTTGTCCCTGCTGCTGGTCTCACGCAGCAAGGCGCAGGAAAGCCGATTCCTCGCAGACCCAATCGCCACGCATCCCGCCAGCGGTTCCACCGACGCAAATCCTGGGTTAGGGTTTGGGGTTTAGGGTTTAGTTGAGCATGCGTAGAGTCTGCTCAGTATCGAGTTTAATTTCGCAGCCAATGCCGAGCGGCCATCATCATCGGTCAGCAACAGCCTTAGCACAACAGTTTAACAGGCGTGCATCCGTACATTCTGGACACCAATGTAAGCGTTGCGAAAAGTTTGACCCCGCCCCCGGGCACTGCCAACCTCTCGCAACCAGTCTAGTAGAGAAGGCAACGAGTGAGCCGACACTGCAGAACACTTCAGTGCGACGTGAGAGTTTAGCTTAGTGCCTATATAGGATCTAAATTTCCATGATGCAAGTCCTATTGCTAAGGCTGAAAACTTAGAAACTTAGAACACGAATTGCCTCGCTTTTGACAGTCCTGACAGGTTGTATGCCTGTTGAAGTCTACGGTCTAAGAGTCTAGAGGTACTCACAGAAAATACCCTCAACGTACAGACTGGATTTAGACCTCTTTCTATGAATGGTCTATACCTACTCACCACACACTTGTTAGTTCTACTTTCGACTACTTTGGAGTGCTTTGAGGCTTTGAGTCACACCAAAAGTTGGCAGGATCGGGCCTGAGAAGGATCCCATGAACCTTGAGACAGGTCCCCAGAAAAGGCTCGAAGCAGGATGCTTCCTCCGCCTTTTTCCCCCACCGTCCGTCTGCTTCTTTTCTTTCTTTCCTCTTTGATGTGAGCAGAGTCATTCCTTCTTTACACGTTTTGGCGGTGGGAGGAAGCGCCACTTTATTACGCGACACATGAAACATGTACCTCCCAGTCGCAGGGAAAGAAAGGGTTGAGATTCAAGACACACATACACCGATAAACTCCCTCAAACCCCGAACACACGATCCCAGTGTCCGGCACCAACGCCCTTACTCTTAGCCCGCCCTCCAAACCCAAGCACGGAATTCCAAAAGCCTGCATGTTTTGCGCTTTGGGCTTAGGCTTGCAAGCTCCTCATGCCACAACACACTGCGTTGCACCGCACAGGCTTGTTGACCAGGTGCATTTCACAGATTCTTCCAGTTCACCGCCGTCATACCATTCAAGGGTTCCGGGTGTCAGCCATCATGAACACCAGTTGCTGCCTGGAGGCTGCAGCCACGCATCTGTTCGCTTCGACGCCTGCCCAGTCCAGAACTAACTCGAATATGGGTCCGTGTATGATCCCTCAACCTAAACTTCTCTAAACCAACCCTATGAAGTTATGAAGCTGCTTGATGTACTTGCGAGGCCGCCGAGCCTCCGCCGAGTGAAGCCAAGGTCTCGGCCTGACCTGGCAGCTGGAAAACCAAGCCGCTTATGGCTCAGCTTCTGCTTTGGGGTCCTTGAGATTGGGCTCGCCATTTTCTGAAATTCCATGGTTCGGGCTCATCTCAAACCCTCCACCAGCAGCTACTGTAGTACAAGCCGGGGCGCTGCCACAGCTGGACAGACCTGGAGACAGCCAAGTGCAAGCATGAAAGGACAAGCGGAAGACCCTGCGCCAGGCCGACCGAGATTTACATGTGGAGTTGATCACATACAGCTGCGACGATTCCGGGGCCAGAGTAGAACAACTCCACAGACTTCCACGACATAATTGGCTCCCCGCTCAACATGCCCCAATGGCCTTTGAGATCAACTCCAACGGCCAATCATAGTCACGCTGGGAGACGGCCTGGAAACGGAGCAGGTCTTGATGGTGCTGAGGCGCGGCTCCGGATCAAGCATCCCTTCGCGATTCACCTCAAGCTGCGGGACATGGCCTGCAACAGCTGCAGAAGGACCAGCTCAGCACCGGTGCTGCAGTGACCTCACAGCGCCACCCCACAACAAGAGAAAAGCAAGCCACGGTCAGAACTCTGCCTAGGAGCTCCCGCGCTGCTCGGACTTCCGGCGAAGGAGAGGCAGGACTCCGACCTGGTCCAAGCGCTCGAGCGACGCCTCCGAAGCCTTCCAGGGCCCGAGCAGATCAGAGCAGCTACAGCTAAGCAGGCTAAGCAGCTAATTACTTCTCGAAAACTTGCCACTTGCCGGGCCTCCAGTACGGCTGCGAGGCAAAGCTGCAGCAAGGCCGGGAATGAGATGTGCGCCTCCCAGGAGAACTCAGTCGAAGCTAAATCTGCTTCTGAACCCTTCCCTGATGAGACCTCAGGAACCATTCCGTCGGCGTCAGCCACGAGCTGCCACACGTCCATAGTTGTGTCGAGAAGGGAGCATGACAGCACTGCGCTTGCGCCTGCAGCTGAAACGATTGCGCATCACAGTTGGCATCAAGGTGTTCCAAAACTCCGTGGAATGCCTTGATCTGCTGAGAGTTGGTATCTCGAGCCATCTTCAGAGAGGAAGCCAATGATCTCGTTGAGCAGGCTGCTGCTGGGTTGAGACGGCAGGGCTGGCAATAGCCTGTGGGCAGCTGGAAATGAACTGCTCGCCTCTTGCAAGACCTTGCCGAGCCTCAAGACCTCTTCAGCCTCTGCCGCATCGTAGCACAAGAGGGGGCGATCCCAAAGCGTTGCCTGACCCCGACTATCACGGAGCACGAGATAAAAGCGAAGCAAGAAGATATGCGTCGAAGCGAACCACAAGCAAGCGAGGACATGGCATATGGCTTGAAAGTGGGCTCCTCTAGCTTGGTCGCTGCAGTTGAATGTCCCAGCGAAGTCAGTGCCAAGACCGAGCGCAGCTGTGTCGAGGTGCTGGCTCCGGCCAGCGCCTCCAACGACCTCAAAAGTGCAAGCAAGACCCGTTCTCTTCGGGGGATTCAAGAGTCGAGCGGCCTCTCGATCACATCCGGCGTCGGTCCGCCTGGCAGCAGAGCCGAAGCCTCCAGAAAAGCCGCGGCCGCCTGCGAAGCGGCCGGCGATTCACCTTACGCTGGCCCACATTCAACAAGACCTTCTCTATGTGTATTGGACCTCTATGTATGATTTGCAGGTCTCGGTTGTTTCAAAGGACGCATAGGAGATACGAGAATACAGAAACCAGTTTCAATAATTTCAATTTTTTCAAAAATTTTTCCTTTTGAGGAAAATTTTTGAAAAAATTGAAATTTTTGAAAAAATAAAGACCTGGCCAGGCCCGGCCGTCGCAGGCCAGGATTCTTTAAAATTTTTGAAAAAATTGAAATTTTTGAAATTTTTGAAAAAATAAAGACAATTTTTTCAAAAATTTCAATTTTTTCAAAAAATTTTCCTTTTGAGGAAAATTTTTGAAAAAATTGAAATTTTTGAAAAAATAAAGACCTGGCCAGGCCCGGCCGTCGCAGGCCAGGATTCTTTAAAATTTTTGAAAAAATTGAAATTTTTGAAATTTTTGAAAAAATAAAGACAATTTTTTCAAAAATTTCAATTTTTTCAAAAATTTTTCCTTTTGGGTGAAATATTTGAAAAAATTGAAATTTTTGAAAAAATTGTCTTTATTTTTTCAAAAATTTCAATAATTTCAATTTTTTCAAAAATGTTAAAGAATCCTGGCCTGCGACGGCCGGGCCTGGCCAGAGTCTTTATTTTTTCAAAAATTTCAATTTTTTCAAAAATTTTCCTCAAAAGGAAAAATTTTTGAAAAAATTGAAATTTTTGAAAAAATTGTCTTTATTTTTTCAAAAATTTCAAAAATTTCAATTTTTTCAAAAATTTTAAAGAATCCTGGCCTGCGACGGCCGGGCCTGGCCAGGTCTTTATTTTTTCAAAAATTTCAATTTTTTCAAAAATTTTCCTCAAAAGGAAAAATTTTTGAAAAAATTGAAATTTTTGAAAAAATTGTCTTTATTTTTTCAAAAATTTCAAAAATTTCAATTTTTTCAAAAATTTTAAAGAATCCTGGCCTGCGACGGCCGGGCCTGGCCAGGTCTTTATTTTTTCAAAAATTTCAATTTTTTCAATAATTTTCCTCAAAAGGAAAAATTTTTGAAAAAATTGAAATTTTTGAAAAAATTGTCTTTATTTTTTCAAAAATTTCAAAAATTTCAATTTTTTCAAAAATTTTAAAGAATCCTGAGGGCCGCGCCTGGCCAGGGTCTTTATTTTTTCAATATTTTCAATTTTTTCAAAAATTTTCATCAAAAGGAAAAAATTTTGAAAAAATTGAAACTTTTGAAAAAATTGTCTTTATTTTTTCAAAAATTTCAAAAATTTCAAAAATTTCAATTTTTTCAAAAAATGTTAAAGAATCCTGGTTTGCGACGGTCGGGCCTGGCCAGGGTCTTTATTTTTTCAAATAGTTTCATTGTTTCAACACGTGTTCCTTTTGAGGTAATTCGAAGCACTTTGAAACAATTGTCTTTATTTTTAAAGAATTTCAAGCTTTTTTCCGAATTATTAAAGAATACCCTTTTCTTGTTGGGGTGGAGGACCTGCAACGGGATCTCTTCCTTTACCAAGAGGTTTTTGGAGCAGCCCTCTTCTTTCTTGTGAAATTGGAGCGAGCTTTCTTCCTGTTTTCGATGATTAGGTACAGAACTCACACACTGTTGGGGGGGTCGTCTCTGTCTTCTGTGGCTAGGAGTGAAGTCTCTCCAGTCTTGAGAAGCGGCTTACCAATAGATAATGGACATCTCTTCTAGAAAGAAGCCCTCTTCTCTTGCCACGGAACTCTTGGGGAGGAGCTCTCTTCTTGTTGGCGGCATGAGGTGGGGGAGTTTTCATGGTTGAAAGAAGGAAAAGAGGCTGGGTGGGAGCTCCACCATCTCTTAGGTTCACTTCCATATTTTGAAAAGGTAGAAGGGATAGTCAGTATCTCGTTTTTTACCTGTAGAGAAGCTTGGTCTCTTCTTGCCGACTGAGGGGTGAACGGAGCTCTCCTTTTTCTCGAAAACTTGTAGGTACATGGTTTTCATTTTGTAGATGGAGCTCTCTTCTGTCTCATCAGGTTGGAGGAAGCTCTCAGTCTCTTCTTCTTTTGCTTTTGTCTTTGGAAGTTGGGGGAGCTCTGGTAAACTCCAGTCCAACTTCTGAAGAGGAAGAAGGGATAGTCAGGAGCTCTCTTAATTTCCCTTGCCAAGGGAGAAAAGAGGCTTTATTTCGCCGACTGAGGGATAAGTGGGGCGATCTCCTCTTTCGCGAAGTTGGAGGGGCTTATGTAATGTTTCTCGAGAAGCTAGAGGGGCCTGTCTTCTGGGTCGTTGGGGGTAGGGGACCTGCCACGGGATCTCCTCCTCAGCCCTCTTCTTCGTTATGAAATTGGAGCGAGCTTTCCTTTGGTTTTGGATGATAAGGTATTGCTTCATTGTTGAGTGTAGGGGCGTCTCTGTCCTCTCTGGCTGGGAGTGAGGTCTCTTCACTCTTCTCAAAGTTGAGAAGCGACTTACCAAGAGGTAATGGAGCTCTCTAGAAAGAAGCTCTCTTCTCTTACAACGAAAATGTCGGGGGAGCTCTCTTCTTTTTCTTTTAGAGCATGAGGTGGACGAGTTCTGTTTCTTTTTCAAGAGGGCCAGACCTCTTTGTTTGAAGGGCTCCACCCTTTCTTTGAGCGTATGCTCTCTTCGTCTTTTGAAGGGGTAAAGGGGATAGTCAGCATCTCCTTTTGCCTAGAAAGAAGGAGGTCTCTCCTTGCCGACTAAGGGGTAAACGGAGCTCTCTTCTTTCCCGATATCTTGGAGGGGCTTGTTTGTTTTTTATTGAGATGGAGCTTGCTTCTGTCTCATTAGATTGGAGGAAGCTCTCAGTCTCTTCTTGTCGAGGACGAGGTAGAGAGGGCTTTTCTTTTTGGAAGCTGCTGGAGCTCTGTCCTCTTTTGCCAGTGTATCTCTTCCTCTACTGACAGGCAAAGGAGCTCTCTTCTAGAAAGAAGCTGTCTTCTCTTACCAAGAGTAACTTGGATTGAGTTCTCTGCTTGTTTCCGAGGATGAGGTCGAGGGCTTCTCTTTGCCTTTTGAAAGCCGCAGGGGAGGACCAGACTTCGCTTGTCAAGGTTTGAAGTTTGGAAGAGCTCCGTCCCTTCTTTTTGATCGAACGCTCGCTTGAATGTATTGAAGAGGAGAGGAGATGGTCAGGAGCTCTCGCCGCTGACTAAGAGAGAAAGGAGTCTTCTTGTTGTCGACAGAGAGGTAAACAGAGCGCGTGTTTTTCCGAGAAGTTAAAGGGGCTTGTCTTCTCAATTGCTGGGGTGGAGGACCTGCCACGGGATCTCTTCCTTTACCAAGAGGTTTTTGGAGCAGCCCTCTTCTTTCTTGTGAAATTGGAGCGAGCTTTCTTCCTGTTTTCGATGAACTCACACACTGTTGGGGGGGGGTCGTCTCTGTCCTCTCTGGCTACGGCTAGGAGTGAAGTCCCTCCAGTCTTCGCAAGACTGAGAAGCGGCCTCCCAACAGGTAATGGACCTCTCTTCGAGAAAGAAGCTCTCTTCTCTTACCACGAAAATCTTGGGGAGGAGCTCTTTTCTTGTTGGTGGCATGAGGTGGGGGAGTTTTCAAGGTTGAGGCAAAGGCAGGATTTCTCTCTTTGAACTCTTAATTTCCCTTGCCAAGGGAGAAAAGAGGCTTTATTTCGCCGACTGAGGGATAAGTGGGGCGATCTCCTCTTTCGCGAAGTTGGAGGGGCTTATGTAATGTTTCTCGAGAAGCTAGAGGGGCCTGTCTTCTGGGTCGTTGGGGGTAGGGGACCTGCCACGGGATCTCCTCCTCAGCCCTCTTCTTCGTTATGAAATTGGAGGGAGCTTTCCTTTGGTTTTGGATGATAAGGTATTGCTTCATTGTTGAGGGTAGGGGCGTCTCTGTCCTCTCTGGCTGGGAGTGAGGTCTCTTCACTCTTCTCAAAGTTGAGAAGCGACTTACCAAGAGGTAATGGAGCTCTCTAGAAAGAAGCTCTCTTCTCTTACAACGAAAATGTCGGGGGAGCTCTCTTCTTTTTCTTTTAGAGCATGAGGTGGACGAGTTCTGTTTCTTTTTCAAGAGGGCCAGACCTCTTTGTTTGAAGGGCTCCACCCTTTCTTTGAGCGTATGCTCTCTTCGTCTTTTGAAGGGGTAAAGGGGATAGTCAGCATCTCCTTTTGCCTAGAAAGAAGGAGGTCTCTCCTTGCCGACTAAGGGGTAAACGGAGCTCTCTTCTTTCCCGATATCTTGGAGGGGCTTGTTTGTTTTTTATTGAGATGGAGCTTGCTTCTGTCTCATTAGATTGGAGGAAGCTCTCAGTCTCTTCTTGTCGAGGACGAGGTAGAGAGGGCTTTTCTTTTTGGAAGCTGCTGGAGCTCTGTCCTCTTTTGCCAGTGTATCTCTTCCTCTACTGACAGGCAAAGGAGCTCTCTTCTAGAAAGAAGCTGTCTTCTCTTACCAAGAGTAACTTGGATTGAGTTCTCTGCTTGTTTCCGAGGATGAGGTCGAGGGCTTCTCTTTGCCTTTTGAAAGCCGCAGGGGAGGACCAGACTTCGCTTGTCAAGGTTTGAAGTTTGGAAGAGCTCCGTCCCTTCTTTTTGATCGAACGCTCGCTTGAATGTATTGAAGAGGAGAGGAGATGGTCAGGAGCTCTCGCCGCTGACTAAGAGAGAAAGGAGTCTTCTTGTTGTCGACAGAGAGGTAAACAGAGCGCGTGTTTTTCCGAGAAGTTAAAGGGGCTTGTCTTCTCAATTGCTGGGGTGGAGGACCTGCCACGGGATCTCTTCCTTTACCAAGAGGTTTTTGGAGCAGCCCTCTTCTTTCTTGTGAAATTGGAGCGAGCTTTCTTCCTGTTTTCGATGAACTCACACACTGTTGGGGGGGGGTCGTCTCTGTCCTCTCTGGCTACGGCTAGGAGTGAAGTCCCTCCAGTCTTCGCAAGACTGAGAAGCGGCCTCCCAACAGGTAATGGACCTCTCTTCGAGAAAGAAGCTCTCTTCTCTTACCACGAAAATCTTGGGGAGGAGCTCTTTTCTTGTTGGTGGCATGAGGTGGGGGAGTTTTCAAGGTTGAGGCAAAGGCAGGATTTCTCTCTTTGAAGGTTGGGTAGGAGCTCCGCTATCTCTTCTGTTCATTTCCATATATTGAAAAGGTAGAAGGGATAGTCATGATCTCCTTTTCTTACCTGTAGAGAAGCGTTGTCTCTTCTTGCCGACTGAGGGGTAAACAAACGGAGCTCTCCTTTTCCTCGATATCTTGTAGGGACATGGTTGTCATTTTGTAAATGGAGCTCTCTTCTGTCCCATCAGATTGGAGGAAGCTCTCAGTCTCTTCTTGTCGAGGATGAGCACTCTTCTCTCTCGCGAAGTTGGATGGGCTTGTGTGCTAATTTGAGACGGGGCCCTCGTCTGTCTCGTTAATAAGTTGAAGGAAGCTCTCTTCTTGCCGAGGATGAAGTACAGAACTTATGCATTGCTTTTGAATACCGGGGGAACTCTGTCCATGTTTTCAGGGGCGAGCTCTCTTCAGTCTTCGTAGGATTAGGATGAAGACTTCCCAAAAGATGAAGAGCTCTTCTGGAAAGAAGCTGTGTTCTCTTACCGAAAGTAGCTTGGATTGAGTTTTCTGCTTGTTTCAGAGGATGAGGTAGAAGGCTGCTATTTGCCCTTTGAAGGCCGCAAGGGAGGAACAGGCTTCTCTTGTCAAGGTTTGAAGTTTGGAAGAGCTCCGTCCCTTCTTTTCGATCGAACGCTCGCTTCCATGTGTTGAAAAGGAGAGGAGACGAATGAACGCCGAATCGCAGACCGCGCCGCCGATATGAAAGCAGATGAAAAAGGTTGTGCGATCGTCATAGATATATGACGAAGGTGTGACAGCTTCTGTTGTCATGTGCTACTCGACGAACCGCTCCAGAGGTCTAGGCGCGGTCTGTAACCACATATCAAAATCTCTTCGTTGCCTTACGGCCTCGAGCACTGTATCATCGGAGGTCCGCTTACCATTCCCCACAGCATCCGCGGCCTGGATCTGTCACAGCGTGACAAAGGCAACATAGCATCTCACTGTGTTGCGATCGATTGTTGGTTCAACCGCTAGTTAAACTCACGGCTGTTTGATGGACGGTGCCTGCAAAACAGCCTCCAGAGTGGGAAAGAACTGAGGTTGACCCAACAACAAACCCACACATTATACCTAAAGGTCCGTGCCACATAGTATCTTAGGCTACGGAGGTTACTGTGTAAACGGGCAGGCGAAGGCTAGTCTTAGGCATGTCACGGCCTCTCCCAAGAGTCTGTGCAGTAGGCAAGCCAGCAGCGCTTGGCTCGAACGCTTGCGGCGTTTCTGCACACAGCCCCTGCAGGGAGTTGTCGGATTGGTCGTTGGTATGCGTTGATATCCTCCAACATGTCGTCTCATGCATTGAAGATCTTAGGGCTCCATCAACCCGGCCACTGCCTACATCCGGTAAAACTGTCACACATCTAAACTCCGACCAAACCTTGCCGTTGATCAAAAGATCCACTGAAACCCCGCAGGAACTGCAAGTCGTTTGAGCATGATTATTACAACTTGCTCCCGGAGTTTGGCCAGACCACATCTCTTCGGCAGTTTAGGGTCTCGGCCAGGGCATGTAGACTTTAGGGTTTAAGATTCGCAGCTCCTGCCTCTCGTGAGGCACATTCTTGCAGGAGCGACAGAGCGGGCCGGTCGTCGATGCCGAGTATGGCTAGCATGCGGAAGAGCTCCTGGGCGCGAACGTTCCCATGCATGGAACACTACTAAACTTGGCGTCGGCGGCTGAACAACAACATAGGTTCTAGGTCCTAGGTAGCCACCACCACTGACTGATCCTGTTCGGGCTCAGTGGACATGCCGTAGAGAGAGAGGGTTTGCGTGATTCGAGAGTCCAGGAAGAGGTGATGTTGCAGCATGCCAGGTGAGCTGAAAGTCGAAGCACCACAACCACAACCTCAACAACAGCAGCAGCAAGAGCAGGAGCAAGACAACAAACAAGAGCAAGAGCAAGACAAAGAACAACAGCAACAGCAGCATGGCCAGCACAAGCGCCAGCAACAGCAATCACCAACCACCAACCACCACAGACCACACCACCACCACCACCACCACCACCACCACCACCACCACCACCACAGCGCCACCACCACCACCACCACAGCCCACCACCACCACAGCACCACCACCACCACCACAACCACAGAACCACCGCCACCACCACAATCAGCACCAGCACCAGCACCAGCAGCAGCGACAAGAACAAGAAGAACAAGAAGAAGCAGAAGAACGATCACGAGAACAAGACGAACAAGAACATAATAATAAGAAGAAAAACCAGAACAAGAATGACACTAGAACAAGAACCAGAACAGGATATCATGCGGGTTAAGAAACCATCACGAAGCCCGAAACCCTGCAGGCCAAGCGAGGCTCCGCTCGCCCCAGGTCGGATATCTGCGCAAGGATCGGCCCGGCTACTTCAACCACCATCCACGCATCCGAAGGCATCACTAAACCTGACGAGCTTGGAACATGAAGCTGGGTACTTTTAGGTGCCAGATGGCCTAGGGCTTAGGGACACGCGAGGGGCCGTGAAAGAAGGATCCGTCAATCATATGATCCTGCTACCTTATGACTCTTTCGCACAACATGCTAGGAACACAATCAACGACATTGGCCCGTGCAGCACTGGACAACAAGGAATGCGAATTCGACTGCTGATACTGATACAGGCGACACAAATGAAGCGATTACTGACAATCATCGCAAAAGCGAGATCAGCAAAATTGGCTCGTGCCAAGTGTGTGTCTCTCTCTTGGGTTAGTTAGAACATGAGTGGCTGGCAGCAACGAGTGGATACCACCCTAGTATCCTAGCTGATATTCGTGTGCCTGACCGTGTTAATGCGGCGATGGCCGTGCAAGTTGTAAGCAGAAATCGGGGGCTGTAAGCCTTGTCGAAGCACCGAAGCAATGCTGAAGTTTCCCTAGTAATGACCACATCGTTTGGTGTCTCGCTGCTAAACTGCTTTGCTCTTTGCTTGCAAGCGTGCCCTGGCCTCGCATCATCTCAACACTGTGCTAGAAACATGCTGGTACACCCTACTGAGTCCTACTGCAAGGCCGCCGACTCGAGCCGCCGGGCTTAGGGCTTCGGATGCTGTTGACGCAAGCAGGCCTGCATCTGCCAACACCCCAGCACTGCGACAAAGGAGGTCCACCGAAGGTGGCTTCGTGCTGCGTCTGCTCAGCGACTGCAACAGCTGTGAAGCTGCTGTTGCACTTTTCGTCTCTGAGAGCATGGGCCCGGGCAGCCCGACACTGGCCATCGCATGCGCCAGGGCTGCCAGAAGCTCTGTGCTCACTTCGCTGAGCCTGCCGTCCAGGGACCTCACCCAGAGATCACGAAATCTTGACGCACAGAGTCGCCCACAACGTCTGTGTGCCCAAATAAGTACAGCAGCCTCATGAGCAGAAACTTCTACAAAAGCCAGCTGGGATTCCACCGAGTCGAACACGGCCTCTCCTGCATGACCAGCAGCAGCTGAGAGGCTGATGCAGGCATAGGCCGCAGTTGCCTGTGCCATCTCGGAGGAGGAAAGGCCACCAGCAGCTCTGATAATAGATGGAAAGCCATCATGCCAAAAGCGCGCATCAGGAGGCAGCGCTCCAGCCTTGCCCAGAAAGGCAGCAGCAGCCGACACTTCACCGAGAGAAAACAGTGGTCTTCTTGCATATCTTCCGCTAGATGCCAGCACTGCCCGGATCCAGGAGGCGTAAACACCGGTTCGCGGCTCGACTTCCGCACGCGCGCAGGACACAATCACAGCCGTTGCATCGATGGCATCTTCAGATGTCTGCACCGTCGACTTCCACTCAAGCAAGCGCTTGCGCGCATCTGCTGCATGGCGCCACCACAAGTGAGTATCCAAGTTGCTCCGGTTCAAAGTCATTTCCACTGTTGCCCTGAGGCCACTCCAAGTGTCAGAAGCATCGCGGGCATGACGATGCGGCTCCAGGGCCCCGCCAATAAACTCGAAATCAATCAAGGCCCCTGGGTCCCTCCTCTGCGATGTCCGGCAGGATCTAACTCCTCTCTGGGGCTTCTCGTTCTGCACATCAGCTGCGCCTTCAGCTGCGCCTTCTGCCTCTGCCTGCACCTGGGAGCTTGTGCTTCGGCGAAGCCACAAGCCAAGCCTCCGACACTTCGAAACACCCACACGAGCGCAGCAAGCATTGACAAGAGATGTGTGGTTTAAAACTGCACACCCCCTTACAAAACATGCTGATACGCGAGGAACGTCGTGACGCTCATGCGAGAGCTGCAGGCTCTTGCTAGAAGAGCCATTGAAGCAGCAGGGGCCTGCATACAAACAGGGCTGCAACAGTGAGAATCTTGAAATGCCATCACGGCTCGTAAAACCGTCATCTGCCCTCTGGATCTCTCTGTCACTTCCGGAAACCGAAAGTTGTCATAACACAAGGCCGACCTGAGATGGGGCCCACAAGCAGACCAGCTGCCGGCGAAGCTCTCCCATGCCAAGGAAGCCTCTAATTCTTGGGGCAGGCTACAGTGCACTGAGCACCTGGAGCAAGTGTCAGCATCAGCGGTCCTGTGGCCCTAGCGGGGCTAGCAACTTTACAATCCGAGAGGGGGCAGTGACTGGGCGGGCTTTGGCTCTGGCAGCATGTTCTGCCAGCTGTCCCGTGCCTGCCCAACTTTTAAGCCATCGACAGGCTCAGTGGGAGATGGCGATCCCTTCCCAAGCGGAGCAGTCCCCACATGTTGCAACATCGCTCTGTCTGCTTCGCGTTTCCGAAGTCTGACGGTCCAGCCTCGGGTGAAGCTGGAAGCTCCGGCGGTGAGCTTCCCGCCTCAACGGCAAAATCTCCCAATCTGGAGCTCTTTGCGGCATGTCTCGCGAATCTCGAGGCTAAGTCCTGATGCAGACCGAAACTCGGCGATTGCTGCGCCACTAAGGTAGGTGCAGAAGACACGGGCGACGGCTGCCCTTTCCGCCGTTTCCGGGGAGGAGCAGCCTTCTCCTGAAATGGACACACTGGAGGCTGTGATGCTTGAGGCCGCCAAGGTGAGGAGCTACGCCTTTTCAAAGCTTAGGGCTTAGGAGCCCAGGTGTCCTCCACAACGTCGATGTCCTCCACCAAATCCAAGGACGGAGCCACAGCCTGCAAAGTATACAGGCTCACGCAAGCCCAAGCTGTGGCAGTGTTAGTTGGTGCCTCCACGTCCTCTTCATCATCATGTTCCACGCAAGGAACCTTCAAGAAGTCACCATTGTCTAGGAGTCTAGGAGGCTCAGTCTTTCTCAACACAAAGAAGCTATCGGCCACACAAACCGTCTTCCACATGGCTGAGTCACCCACGAGACCATTCTTGGCATCCTCGACAGCCTTCAATGACACAGCTGTTCGGAATGTACTCTTCGTCAGTGATACTACAAAAGCATCAAGATCGCACTGTGAGAATAGTGGCACAAGATACATTGTAGTGGCGCTGGTAGAGAAACAACTCCGTGTCACAGAACGATACAAACAACAACATCAATTTGTAAGCCATGGTAGAACGAATGGTTTTGAGACCGGAAGCGAGACAGAATCACCAGGTAGCAGCTGTCAACATGCTGGGTGCAAGAATGAAGGGCTGTTAAGACTCCAAGTACCGTCGTCATCTCCATCACCGCAGTGGCAGCAAGAGTCGCCGTCGTCGTCGGGTCTTTGCGGCCAGCACAGCTACGTGAAAGGCATCAGCTGGTACGGGGCGTGCAGCGGACAAGGCCTCTGGAGAACGAAGAAGCAGATGGCAAAGAGAAGAGGGGGAAGGGAAAGAGAGAGAGAATAGAGAGAACGGGTCTAAAAGAAAGAACAGGAGGGGGACGGAAGGGGAGAGCCGACATACAGCAATGAACAATCCGTGCTGAAACAACGGATCTCCGAACGACATGGCAGACAGATAGACACATGGGCAGATAGAGTCACATAGAGGCAGATAGATAGATAGGTAGGTACTCGGTATAGTAGACAAACAGGTCGCTGGAGCGAAACACCTGTGATGAGGCCATGTGTCACAATCGTGCCTTCTGCCTCGCTTCGGCACGCTTCTTTCGCTCGGCTCGCGCCTGCTCAAAGCAGCAAACGTCTGAAGCACCTACAGGCCGAACCACAGCGAAGCATCTAACTATGCATGCTTAGCACTGGGAGCCTGTCGCTTTAGTTTTAGCATGTGGTTCATACTTTAGTCATGTTGAACAGTCCTGACGCAGCAGGAATTGATTTGTCCACGGCACTGCGACACTACGATCACGGCAGGACGTGTGCCTTGGCTGCCTCGACTTCTCTCTCTGCCTTCTCCTGCGAGGACAATACAGACTGCCCTGCACACACATCGAGCACGATACGATGAGGAGAATCCCAAGACTCTGCCCTGCTGCCGCAATGCTCTGAAGGTCTCTGTCTGGGCTCCTTTGCTAGGCGCTCAGCCCGGGCTTTTTCTTTGGCCTGGAGGCTTCGGAGGCTTCGAAGCACAAACGATTTGCCGCTCGTGGTAGATCTGTAGAGACTGTAGAGCGTGCAGAAGCAGGTCCGCGTGTATGGCGATCCCGACTCAGTTCGGCACGAGTTGTCTCTCTTTCCTGGATGCCAATTCACTCAACAAAAACAGTGGAAGAAAGGAGCTGTTGGTGCTCTTGTGCGGTTCTTCAGGGTCCTTCAATCATTTAAGAGCCGCAATCTCCTATGACGGTCCTGGCCGCCTTGTCTTTTTCAGCAGCCTCCTCCCGTTCCTTCTCCTGCACTGGTCGGGATCGAAAACTCAGGGCTTCCAGGAGTAGACTGTCCTCGCGCTCGCGGGCTTCGCGCTCAGCTTGCTCTTTGGCTCTTCGCTCTTCCTCCTTCAAGGGAGTCTTTTGGGTGCCCTAGGCCCTAGCGGACTGCGACGAGCTCCACTTGCTCCACTTCACAGCTCCTTCTGCTTCTTCTTGTCGACTCGTCGGGGCTTGGGCTTCCCGGTGCCCGGTGGACCCAATCCAAGACTTTCGCGCAGGAAAGCGTAGGTCTGCAAGCAAGTGCGGCAGAAGATGGATCGATCAGCCTATGCCTTCCGGGCCTGCTCCACAACTGCATCCCGATTTCCACGCGTTAGCTTCACAACACCTCGAGCAGTGCTAGACAACTGAAGTTGGAAGGCTCGAATCAACTCTCGAAACGCAAGCCCAGCTTCCCGAGCTGCAGGCGCGCGCCAGGGCTCTTTTTGATCTCTTCGACAGGTTCAGGGTCACGCTGACCCTTTGCCTTTCAGGCGCCGGGAACAGCTTGGTCCAGCTCACTGCGGAGGCTCGAGATGACGCTGAGGTTCGCACCGTCTGCACCCCCGTCGCCAGCACCGTGTCCTCGGTGAGCCCGAGTCTGGCTTCCACTCTCAGAAATTCAGAGTTACCCACAGTTACCCTAGATGCTGAGGACACGACTTGCTCCAACACACGAGCCAGCGTCTTGGGGAATTGAACGGACAGCAGGCCCATCTTGCCTACCTCTCAGATGCTGGTCTAGCTCCTCTTCCTTATCCTTAACTATGCAGGCAATGTTTTCAGTGCGTTCCATACATCGGGAACCGGAAGTACTGTTGATGGACAAAATCCTGCACTACCCATTAAAAGGAGTATACCATAGTTCCCATAGTTTAGAGTCCTTAGGGTCATGCAGGATTTTGTCCATCAACAGTAGGACGGAACTTGGACGACTTGGGCTTAGCCAATGAGAGATGCTAAGAAAACATAGGAATCTCTTTAATATTGGTGAAACCTGCTGGCGAACACCTAGGAATACAAGCACAGAAGAGGAAAGTGTTATAACGAAGTGTGCTGAGGATGTATGAACTAGGAAAAAAGCCGTATGAGTATGAGTCTCGGCTCATTAAATTGCATCCTGGCTTTCCGCACACTATACCCCGCACTGCCACAATTACCCACCTCGTGTGCATCGGAATGAGAGTTCCGGATCCATGTACTTTAGGACGCAATGTGCTCCACAGTCATATAAGAACTGTCATATCCCGAAACAAGTTTAACTTCCCACATCCCAACGGCCATTCCCTTTGCCGACCTAGCTGCTCCTGGGCTCCGACATGCCTCGTCCACGACGCAGAGACGAGGAACCGGCTCCTCCTCCTCCTCCTGGCAGATGATCTCCAAGTGGGGAGGAGCTCTGAGACCCTAAGCCCTAATGAACCTAAACCCTAAACCCTAAAACCCTAAACCCTAAGCCCTAACCAGACGCTTCGGATCTTCGACCTTTCAGCGGGCAAGGTCAGGAAAGCTCCAACCGCTGTCCATGCACCTCATCTTCAGGCTTCCACCCTTCTGGGACCTGGCATGGTCGCCGCTGTAATAGAATATATGTAATGTAGTATACTACAGCAACAAATAATACAATATAGCACAAAGTAGAACAACATAGTATTGCATGGTTTAAAATAGTTCATAGAAGTATCCTCTACAGGGCTTTACATCACAGAGTATCATGAAGTACAATGTAGCATGATGGAAAGTACTATAGTATAATAGAACATAACTACATAATACATGAGTATGAAAGCAATAAAGCGAAAATTTGCTTCAACATGACACACTGACTGTGATGTATTGTGATAAAGCCTGATACACTGCGATACAATGCAATACAACATAAAATAACATGAGACAGTACCATTAATATGGTAGAACATAATACAACATAATAGCTAAAAACACATTGTAACATAATATATAATGCAACAAGGTTCATACAATATTACACGTGGATAAAGCAAGGACTCGTATACTAGCCAAATAATCGACGGTATAATACAAACCGAAACATAATAATGAAGCACAACATAGAAAAGTATAGGCGCCATACTATATTTTGCTCTGCTTCATTATTGTCTAATGTAGGGGCTGGAAGCCACCACCTTTCTTCGTGCCTCACGAAGCGAGGAAGGCGGCACATTCAGAACCTGAAAAGCGGCTGGTGAGCCATGTGCGCTTGTCTTACCATAATATGAGAATATTTTGGCGGACCTTTTTCAAGCTGCAGAATACTATGAGGGGTTTAGGGTTTAGGGTTAATTACCAAATTACCGGGGTTCGGCATGCTATTACCTTCTAAGCTTCTTAAGTGTAGGGCTAGATTTTTGGGGGGGTTCAAGCTAGGCAATGTGGATCCTAGCAATGTGGGGCTCCAAGCTAGGATCCTCCCATGTTCTGAAACCCAAGTGGCCTCGCCAAATTCGAGACGAATGCGGCTGTTGGCACCTTCCTGCCCGACACCAGCAAGGCGGTCGACACTACTCTAGTTTCGTTCAGGGGGGATTAGGGTTGATATAGTACAAGAGAAAGTAGCAGTACATTATATACTCAGTATGATATGATATGGTAAGATATGCCATGATGTTGTATGTTACGATATAGCAAATCATAAGCATATGTAACCATGATGCGACACAAGACAAGACAGTAAACCATAATGTACGACAAGATAACAAAAGCATTACAAAACATTACAGTAATAGCATTATTGATAATAGCCCAAGTGGAAATCGCAAAGTAACAAAACAGCGATTGGCAATAACATTAAAGTGACAGTCAAAGTCATGCCGTCAAACAACAATACTCGTTAATGATAGTAACTACGGCGACGACGCAACAACAACAACAACAACAACAACAGCAACAAAAACAGTAAACCATAAACATAATACTAAGTAACAATAGAACTCAGCAGATAATAACACTATTGAACAACATGTAATAGTCGCTAGAGTAAAGAAATAGCAGTAGTAATAACCTGATAACAATAAACTACTACCGAAATGAACGTACGGCAGTACAAGTAACACCAAAAATAGTTCACGAAGAGTACCGAAGAAAAAAAAATGAAATGTTCTACACCGTCAACATCATAATGACGGCTACTAATAATAATGGCATTCATAATAACAATAACAATAATTGGTTCCTTTCAAAAACTAATCATGTAGTTTCAAAAATGATAGGAATAGCAACAACAAAACCGATGACTATCATGGCTATCATCGTTAACAAATAAGTCGCTCAACCAGTAAAACCGGAAAAATAATAAGTACATATATACTGTCATCCTAATATTGCAAGTAGAAAGACTGTGCAAATCAGTGATCATAAGCCATCGTCTCACCTCCTCGTCGGTTGGCTCGTAGAGAAGGCTAACGACCTGTCACAGTTCAGACTCCTAAGGTGACTCCTTGAATCACATGGGAGCTTCCATTGTGGGCGACTCCCAAACCCTAAAAAAATTAAGATCCTTAAAATCAGGAGCCTGACATTATGGAGGGGCTGCTGCAAGAAGTCAACGAATGCAATTCACCTTCTCCGTGCCGTCGGACAACTTGAAGAGCCGCGGATTCTCCGGAAGCTGGAATTCTTCCTGCGAGCTTTCGTTGCTTGCATCGATGCGTGGCAGCCGCAGCGGACACACTTCATGACTCCCAGCGTGCAAAAACTACATGCAAAGGCCACCCACTGAGGTAGCCCTACCACTTCTTCACCTTTCAATTTCAGATCTTCTCCACTGTCCTCCTTTGGAGGCTCCAGCGCAGGAAGTGCGAACGCCTTCGGACCAGTGCAGCTAGTGTGCGACTCTGATCAAAGGGTCAGAGTTCTTGCTACATGTGTTGCTGCGTCCGCGGCAGACATTGGGACAGACAGGAATGGGCGATTTTTCCGACAAGCATCCGGACGGTCTCTTGACTTTACTTGACCACCTACCGTCAGTGCTTCCAAGAACTAGTGTCCTGCAACGCGCCTCGAAAGCAGCGACGTCAACGCTGTACTTGCCCACCGTTGGTGGTGCCTGTCCACTGCACTAAATCCAAAATGCAGGCTCGTAACCAAAACAGCAGAAAGTCGGATCAGCTAGAACAGCAACAAACAGCACAATCTTGACAACACCTGGATCGGCATGGAGACGACGAGGATAGGAATGGCTTGGAGACTGACGGAGCATGCTTCCCGAGCAACCTCCCAAAATCGTTGCTTAACGGTGCTGTTAGTTCAGAAGGTCCACGTGTTTCTATGCTCTTGGGTCCATCGACTGCTCGACTCCCAATTCTACAGGATCCCCAACCTTTGGGCTGGAGAAGTGACTGGCGCCGCTGAAGATTCACTTCCTAAGAGACAAAGGCCTGGCCCTAAAGCAATTGTAATACCATGCACACCGCGTTGGTTTCGGCGCCCAGCGGCCATGCTGACATCTGTGCTTCAATGCAGGAGCGCCGGATGAGCAGAAGTAGCACAAGGCAGCTCCAGCCTACCATTCTCAACCAGATGATACCAGCAGCTACGAGCATCGAGCCTTCCCCTCCCTGGCAAGGACACTCCGCGTCTGCTCGTCAGGCTCTAGACAGCCTGCGACACGCCGCGTGCCCTTGTTCCTAGGCATCCCGGCATCGAAAGAGTGTCAACACCCTTCAGCATCACTCCAACGGTGAGCCGATAAGTCCTCAAAAGTATCCGGCGTGTGCGTGCCTACACGCACGACATCGAAGCCCAGTCGCTGCTTGGGGTTCCTTGGTTTCGGCGGGCTGCAAGCGGATCAGAAATCTCGGTGACAAGTCTGTTCGGGACAAGTGGCGCTGGATCTCTGACCTCTTCGGTGTAGAAGCCTACAGCACCAGCAAAGTTGTTAAACCAGACATGGTCAGCTCGTCCACTCCCGCATCTTCTCTACAAGGGAAGATCTTGAGCTGTCGATGCAAGTATCGAGACGAACGTGCACTGGGGAGCTTGGAACCACTGGATCTGATGGGTTCGAAATATCAAGCCTGGCTTCTGGGTGTTTAGATGCACGAGGCTCTCTCTCTGTCAAATTGCGGTAAGATGCACACCTCGCACATCCACGCCACCCTCTCCATCTTCCTGCTCCAAGACAAAACACGTGGGTCATGACCCAAATGTCCGAGCATCTCTGCTGGGTCGGGCCTCGCGCAGCTTCTCCAGCAACTTGTGCACCAGAGTTGTCTTGCCCACTCCAGGCTGGCCTGGGCGATGATCCACTCGTATGTTGCATTCCATTAATTGTATGTGATTAGATGCTTATGATTAGATGAGACCACAAGATTCACGAAGAGATTCTCGCTCATGGCATCGCTCGACTTTTGCCCAGCTGCTCGCGATGAAGATGTGCTTAGGCTGCTTCCTGCAAGAGCTTCTGCGTGTCGCCCTTCCGCTACTTGCACACGTGGAAGTCCCAGACGGTCCTGGGCTCCTCTTTGGGGGCCGCCGGGGTCGCTGCTTCTTTGGCCTCCTGGAAGTGTCCCTGAAACCCAAAACCGACCCAGAAGGCCCCAGATCTTTGGCCTCTAGCTTGGCCGGCGCCGTAGTGGCTGCCTGGCTCTTGAGCATCGCAGAAGCTCAGACGACCCGTCACAGTTCCTGCCTGCCTACATACGAGGATTCAAGCATGATCACAGGATCTGTCGAGTTGAACAGGACCCACCAAAAATCATGAGGATGCAGAGCCGTATTCTGCAAGAACTCGCAACTGATGGGAAGGGCGCCTCTGCCGGAGCCTCCTGCGCTGGTGGCTCCGACGCCAAGGGCTCGAACTCCTCCTCGGAGCTTCGATGCTTGGCTTTCTTGCTTTGGGCTTTGGGGTTCTGTCAACTCGGCATGCGGCGAGCTCACCGTATCCATCCCACCCGTCACCGAGATCTTTTTGCACCGGAAGGTCGTAGTCGTCCTCCCAGTCTTGCACCTGCATTGCAGATTCAGCTTCTTTCACCCACACGGCCTTTTACAATCCAACCGCATGGAGTGCTGCTTAAAGCTTCGGTACTTGGCGGAGCCCTGCTCGTCTTGTTCTTAGTGCACAAGCTCGTGTTTGGAAAGGATTGGATCTTTGGAAATCGGAATCTTCCCCCGTAGCCCGCCACATAAGCATCAGGATCTCCCCATGAGATCTTTTTTGACAGATAGCTTACACATTGTCCGTCCGCCGAACAATACTGTACAGTTCTGAGAATATGGCAGATGCAGATGCAGACGGAGGCTGCGCTTCCTGGACGTCATGTCAAGCTCGTAACTTTACCGCCTTGAGATTAGCAGATGCGAACCGGAGACCAGTGGCGAGATACACTGAAAAATCCGACCAATTTTGAAATCTTTTGTCCACAAGCCCTGCAGGCTGTTTGGCCGGGGCTGCTGCTTGTGAAGGGGATGCATCCTCGCCTGATTGCAGCGACGGACAAATTCCATGAACATGACTATCATTGCCCCCCCGCCACAAAGCCACAGGGGGCATGACTCGGTGCAGGTTGTGTTGGAAGACTCTCCTCGCGACAAACGAAAGTGCATGCATCAGATGTTGGCAAGAATGTGAAGTGGCAAGACGTGGGGCAACAACCAAAATACATCACTGCATCCCAACATGGCAAAAAACACCAAAAAAAAAGCAACAGAAAAGTCTATGCAGCGTGTCCTGCGGCGGTGGCCGCGTGAGCAGTGCGGCCGCGCCGCCCTGCACAAGGCTCGGGCACGACTATCAACTCGAATCTGCCAAAAAGCTCCCATGAGTGATTGCATCAACGTGCAGCTGTAGCTGAATCCAGTCTAGTCATCTCTGCGGGGCCATTGCAAGCTTCTCTGCAGGCGCCCACACTGCACAATCTGTTGCTCATGCCGCTGTAACGTGTGAGAGGTGACCATCAGACTACTCAGTGCAGACTCCACTCAATTCGGGATCCGCCGAAAACCAGAGCTCTGTTCAAGGGACGAAGGCCAGGAGAGTGGCCCTGGCCTGAGGCGGCGGCCGTGTAAGTAGTGCTGCCGCGCCGCCCTTTGCCAAGAGAGTCCAAGCCGCGCATCTTGCATGCTGTACTGAAACGAGGCTCCGGTGTCTCTAACATGACTCTTGGCCGACTCAACACAGGCATAGCTCTTCCTCCCGAAAAACACTGCAGCAGCTCCTGCGGCGGTGGCCGCGTGAGCAGCGCGGCCGCGCCTCCCTGCAGAAAGAGGCAGAAAGAGAAGGCACGGGCACAGACAAAGCTGTCGCCCGTCTCTTGCATACTGGAATCTGCCAGGAAGCTTTCATCGTCCTATGGTGGGGCATCTCAGTTTTGCTCTGTAGGCGCCCACACTGTTGCTCATGCCACTGCAACGTGTGAGAGGTGACCATCAGACTACTCAGTGCAGACTCCACTCAATTCGGGATCCGCCGAAAACCAGAGCTCTGTTCAAGGGACGAAGGCCAGGAGAGTGGCCCTGGCCTGAGGCGGCGGCCGTGTAAGTAGTGCTGCCGCGCCGCCCTTTGCCAAGAGAGTCCAAGCCGCGCATCTTGCATGCTGTACTGAAACGAGGCTCCGGTGTCTCTAACATGACTCTTGGCCGACTCAACACAGGCATAGCTCTTCCTCCCGAAAAACACTACAGCAGCTCCTGCGGCGGTGGCCGCGTGAGCAGCGCGGCCGCGCCTCCCTGCAGAAAGAGAAGGCACGGGCAAAGGCAAAGCTGTCGCCCGTCTCTTGCATACTGGAATCTGCCAGGAAGCTTTCATCGTTCCTATGGTGGGGCATCTCAGTTTTGCTCTGTAGGCGCCCACACTGTTGCTCATGCCACTGCAACGTGTGAGAGGTGACCATCAGACTACTCAGTGCAGACTCCACTCAATTCGGGATCCGCCGAAAACCAGAGCTCTGTTCAAGGGACGAAGGCCAGGAGAGTGGCCCTGGCCTGAGGCGGCGGCCGTGTAAGTAGTGCTGCCGCGCCGCCCTTTGCCAAGAGAGTCCAAGCCGTGCATCTTGCATGCTGTACTGAAACGAGGCTCCGGTGTCTCTAACATGACTCTTGGCCGACTCAACACAGGCATAGCTCTTCCTCCCGAAAAACACTACAGTAGCTCCTGCGGCGGTGGCCGCGTGAGCAGCGTGGCCGCGCCTCCCTGCAGAAAGAGAAGGCACTGGGTTTTCTCCCGAATTGAGCCCCTTGAAACTCTCGTCGGTGGGGGCGGGGGAGAGCGCTGAAATGCAAAGCACCTTGCAATGACAGTTTACGAGCGACGCACTGGGGAGTTGACAAGCCCTGCTGCACACAAGCCGAGACCTGAAGCCCCTCGCAGCAAATGTCGGCGAAATGTGAGCCACTTTGAAAGGCAGGTGCTAAACAATGACTTTGATGAACTGTTTGCATAGTTGTCGCAGACGGAACAGTGGATTGAGCGAACGACAAAGCAAACGTCCCACTACCCACAGAGCCCAATGCAAGTTAAGGAATGATCCTTAGTTGAGATGCATTGGGCTTTCTCGGTAACGTGGCATCGGTCCAATGCGATGATGCTACTGCCTGTTACGCGGCAATTCGCGCTCGACACCATATCATGTCATGTCTGTTGCTGATAACTCTATTCTTAGTTGAAAGATTCTGAAGATTCTACAGTACCCGACTCCGGGTTTCCTCTTCATGGTCTTGAGGCGAAGGAACGGTGCAAACGCGCCATGCAATCCATTGCAAAAAGATCTCCTCTTCTAGTCCATGGTAACAGTTTAAAGCCTATTCCATCCCATCCGGCAGTTCCTGTGCAGGCGGCCGTGGTGGAACTGCCACGCCACATTGCGCCGGGTTCTGGCCAGGCCCAGGCATTCTTGGAGGATCAATTTCTATCTCAGTCTTGGCATTAAAGTCTCGAGTCTTGGCCTCTGTTGAAATGAGCTTGCAAATAGTAAAGCGCTTCACCGCAACAGGATCGCCAACTTAGAGGCGGGCACAGGCGGCCTGTTGAGTTAACTACAGAACCTTGTATATCTAGAACTCTAGATTGCGTAGGAAGATGTAGGACATGTTTGCAGCAGCTGCAATTCGATGCTGGCGCCGGGATCTGAAACGCTGCAGGTCCTGTGGGGGCGGTCGTGTCAGCAGGGTCGCTGCACCACCCTCAGCACATTCCGCGGATCATGACCGTTCAAAACTCTCCGATGGAGAAGTCACAAGCTCGTGAATTACAGGGGCACAGAGTTTTGCGGCTACGCATGCTTGCGAACTGTATTGGGGGTGAGAAGAAATATAGCATGAGGCCAGGAGGCGAGGTGTCGGGCATATATTGCATGTTCAGTGCAGGATGCACATAATGCTGGAACCTACCTCCATTCAGTGGCGCATCTCCGGCACGTTCTGATAGGTTTCTGAATTTCTACGGCTGCGAAGCAAACCAAAGAAATGTCGTTGCAGTCGAGAGGCCTGAGTCATGGCCGCAGAGCACGGCAAACGGCACAATTCAAATTCGCCGGCTCTTGCGTCTGCTGGTGTGGTCTGGCTGGGATAACGGTCGGCGGTCTCCCATGACGGCGGTGCTATAGCTGCCTAACACAGCATGCCGAGCCTGAGTCAGGCTTTTGTAGACATGTCGCAAACAATCCCATTGGCACCTAACCTTGTTTGGACAAGACTAACCTCGACTCCTTAGATTGAGTGATTTCGATGTGTGTTCTATGCTGTCCTCCTGGGCCGGTCAGAGTGCGGCAGGTGGGATGCACACGACAGTCCGCCGTCGTGAATGCTCCTATATATGTAGGGAACGATTCGACCGACTTCGGCAGGCTTAAGCCACAGATCCCCAACCCCAATACCACAGTTGGCTCTTATGACTGTGTTGCACAAGCCGCAAACCCGAAGCCCCACGAAAACTGTGACCCCGCCCGCGAAAGTCATGGCCAAGCAGCTCCGAAGCCACGGCTCCCTCCCATCAGACGCCAGACAAAGCGTCCGATGCGTCCGAGAAACATGCCTTACCTGTAGCCTGAGCATTTCGTGTTGCAGAACAGACTCCATGAGTCCAGAGACGAGAGATCCCGCGGGAAGGCCCAAGAAGACCACAACTCAAGCCGTCGGCCCTTTCACCTCTCGCACCCACCTGTCAACCACCGTCAACCTCAGCTCAGTCTTCCTCCTCCTGGCAGCAAGAGTCATCGAGTTATGCAGATAATGGATCTTGAAGCTTGCCTCTTCAGCGGCTGCCTGAACAGCCACGGTGTCCAATTCGCGCTGGCCCTCCTGAGAATAACTGTCAAACACCTTTGGCCAAATGGCAAACTTGGAAGCACACTTTCGCTGCAATCGTCCTTCGTGATCATTCGGCCGCCCTGCTCGTCGTGCTCTACCAGCCCCATCTCCTGGCAAGCATGCCTTGCTCATGCTGTGCGTCGTGCCTGTGCACAAGGCGCTCGGCATCGCAGGCATGGGCGAAAACGCGAACATCGCATCCTCCAGCTGCTGCAGAATGTACCGCGCGATCTTGCCAGAGGATTTGGTCTTAGTCAAGAGGCGATGGTCTCTGATGGTAACCCCCCAGCACCCCCAGAGACGAGCCCCGGGCAAAGACATTGGTGCAGGTACCTCGGCGCTTCTGTCCTCCGTACACCTTCTTGAAGGCACCTTGCATATCCAACTCTGATGACTATGATCTTCTGCTTCTCTGAGCTCTGCCGCGCTGACCTGCTGGCCTCACTGGCCCCAGTGCAGCCGAGCTGCCAACGCCCATGCCCTTGCGAATGTAGATCTTTCGCACCATGGACGCCGTTCTGACGTACAGCCAATCCGGATCCTCGAAGTGAAACGAAAATCACACTGATGCATGCGATGCCTTCCCTGTCCCTTCTCCTGCAGCTTGTCAACTGGTCTAAACCCCGAACCCGAAACCCTAAATCCCAAAGCTTGGAACCAGGGCAGTTTCAGATATCCAATAAGTAAAGTCCATCCCCACCTTAGTGGCAGCCCAGGCACGGAAGGTGGCAGCTCCTTTGCCTTGCTCGTCTTTACCACATCCGCCCACTTCGGCAGCTCAAAGCGGCCTCGAGTTGCACATGCCATGTGCAGTGGCGGGCGGTGTCCTTGCCGTGCCTTGGCGCTTGAGGTGCTGGGAGAATGCCTTGATGAACTGCTCAGGCTCAACGTCCTTTACGGTCACGATCTTGCGGCCCTCCTGCGGAAGGATGCAGCTCTGCCCGCGCAGAGCTCTTTGCACTTCCGGGCGCCTTGAAGTAGTTGTCAAACACCTCGATGGACATGGCTTGATCTCCACTTTCTCCAGGACTGAGGGGATACGAGAAACGGTGAACTCCGCAGCCAAGCTGCGAGCTGCGGACGAGCAAGCAGATGCGCATCTTGCTTCACAACAAGCTCAACATGCCATTACTAATGATACAGCTCGGGTCTGGAGTCTGAGCGGGGTAGGTCTTTTGACCGACATCTCGCACACTCTTCCTGCCGACACAAGCCGTGGGGCTGTTTACCCACAGCTCAGTCTTCCTCCTCCTGCAAACCAGAATGTGCAATTACCAATCGATGCGGAGGATTGCGGAGGTGGCATTGTTCCCCAAGCTCTGACGAGACCAGATGAATATCTGATGAATGGCGAAGACTGATGAACAGTGAAGCTCGCTTGCATGGCACTGTTGCCGAAAACGTGACAAAGCATCCCACCTCCTCCGCAGCTGCCTGCACTGCAACTGTGTCAAGCTCTCGCTGACCTTCCTTCAAAACAGACATCATCGCACTATGCCGCGGATCCCAACAAAAACACATGTGGTTGCAGGGCTCGCGGTCCTTCGTGATCATTCGGCCGCCCTGCTCGTCGTGCTCTACCAGCCCCATCTCCTGGCAAGCATGCCTTGCTCATGCTGTGCGTCGTGCCTGTGCACAAGGCGCTCGGCATCGCAGGCATGGGCGAAAACGCGAACATCGCATCCTCCAGCTGCTGCAGAATGTACCGCGCGATCTTGCCAGAGGATTTGGTCTTAGTCAAGAGGCGATGGTCTCTGATGGTAACCCCCCAGCACCCCCAGAGACGAGCCCCGGGCAAAGACATTGGTGCAGGTACCTCGGCGCTTCTGTCCTCCGTACACCTTCTTGAAGGCACCTTGCATATCCAACTCTGATGACTATGATCTTCTGCTTCTCTGAGCTCTGCCGCGCTGACCTGCTGGCCTCACTGGCCCCAGTGCAGCCGAGCTGCCAACGCCCATGCCCTTGCGAATGTAGATCTTTCGCACCATGGACGCCGTTCTGACGTACAGCCAATCCGGATCCTCGAAGTGAAACGATATTCACACTGATGCATGCGATGCCTTCCCTGTCCCTTCCCCTGCACCTTGTCAACTGGTCTAAACCCTGACCCCGAAACCCTAAATCCCAAAGCTTGGAACCAGGGCAGTTTCAGATATCCAATAAGTAAAGTCCATCCCCACCTTAGTGGCAGCCCAGGCACGGAAGGTGGCAGCTCCTTTGCCTTGCTCGTCTTTACCACATCCGCCCACTTCGGCAGCTCAAAGCGGCCTCGAGTTGCACATGCCATGTGCAGTGGCGGGCGGTGTCCTTGCCGTGCCTTGGCGCTTGAGGTGCTGGGAGAATGCCTTGATGAACTGCTCAGGCTCAACGTCCTTTACGGTCACGATCTTGCGGCCCTCCTGCGGAAGGATGCAGCTCTGCCCGGGCAGAGCTCTTTGCACTTCCGGGCGCCTTGAAGTAGTTGTCAAACACCTCGATGGACATGGTTCGGGAGCAGTGGCGAATCGAGATATCCGAGAAGTGGTGTCTACCGCAGCCAAGCTTGAACCCCAAAGCAGCACACGTACCTTAACATCCAAGGAGTGCGGCATGACACGGCAAATGCAAGCGTAGTGCTTTCATTCGGGCAATTGGCTTTTTTCAATATCTTTGGAGCGTATTCGATGTCCCTTACAGGCTTCCCCGTGGACTGCTGCGATGACAGACGGCACAAATGTTGATGCACATCGCGATTGTCACTGAAGTTCAACATGGATCACATGCCCTCCATAGGCTCCATAGCCAACATGGGTTGCTCAGCTTCCGCGAACTGATCTGTGATGTCGATATCCTCTTCAGCCTGCGTCTCCTCCTCCGCCTTCGACAAAGTTAATGCTGGATGACTGGATCTGATTTGGTTTGATCCGGATTCGATTTTGCTGAGACAAGTACAGCATCAACAATCATCACCGACCTCAGCCAGTTCATGTGATCGTCTTCCTCTCCGATGAAACCCGTCGGCACATGATGCGGCTTCCGAAAAAGTTCTGGCAACAGCAGGCAGCTGTCGGTCATGAGCCTGTTCTCCTCTTCTGTGCTTGGGGGCCCTGCCTTCGGTTTAGTTCCCACGGATCCACTGGCGTACCTGTCCCCCATGCAGCGCTGGCACCGTGACTGAGAAAAGCTTTTCGCACAGCTCTTGGGCCTTCCAGCTCGGCCATGCGGGTCATCAGCTTGGATTTCGTCCTGGCAGCTTCCTGGTTCGGCTGAAGTGCTCCTTTCGGTCTGCCGAGCCTCCGCTGCATGTCGCGGTTTTTCTCCATGTAGGCATCTCGCACCTCCGGTGGAGCATCCTGCGCGCAAAAGCTGCCCGAAGCACGAAAGCCTTGAAAGACTGATGCTTTGCAGCTTCACACGACGCCCTTCCTGAGGGATGCCCTTCCGGACTTTGGTGAACGGGAGCTTGTAGTTCCTATGGCAACAGTCCAATCGAACTGGAGAACCACGAGAACGGTGGAACAGGAAGAGACTGAAAGGGCAGAAGCTAAGGCTTTCGACTTCGTAGGCTTTTCGAACGGAGCAAATCCAGCAGGAGACGAGATGGGACAATTGCAGTTGTAGTATGTTGTAGTTGTCAAACCCTCAGCAGATGGCCTTGGTCTCCACGCGAGCTGCAGACCCTGCGTCAGAAGTCATAAAGGTGGCGACGGAACTGACAAAGCTGCAGGCAGACGGGCTAGCAGACGAATCAGACGATTGCGAGCCCCGGAGGATCTTGTTTCAATCCATCTGCAACGGAACCGAAATCTGCAGATCCCGTCTCTTGTTTTCAACGCCTCTGCAAAGTCGGCCGAACATCCGACGGAGGACATTGGGATGAGCTGCGCTGCTGCATACATCGTTCGGAACTTCACCCAACTTCAATCTCGCCTTGCCGTGCGCTCGATTTCAACTGGCCCGGACCTGTCGCCCCCCATCGCATCCTGCCAACTTGAGCTGCAAGCCCATGGTTGCCTCCTTCTGCTTGGATTTTCCTGCAGCCACGAGTCGGAATCACTTGGAGTAAACTTGATGCTTGGTAAGACGGCCCCCAGCGAAGTCGGCCATGAACGCTGCGACCGAGTCTGCAGACAGTGCCTGCGGACCCTCAGGCCCGATGTAGAAGCTGCCGTTATCCGGCAGGTCTATCAGCAAGAGGCGCGGAACTTGGCTGGGCTTCAAGCCGCAGACTTGATACAGTTGCTTAGTCAGGACACCCCCACAGCCAACAAAGAGACCATATTCTCCACCGGCTGCCTTGGCTGCCTGTTGGAGCGCCTCAGCCGCCTGGGGTGCCTCGCTCTCTTCACAGAGGCAGATGAAGGAGGGCGAGTCGTTGAGGCGTTCGGGGTCCGAGACGGCCATATCTTGGCCACTTGGCTCGGGCCAGGGGTAGTGCTCCCCAGCGGGGTCGTCGACCAGCGCCTCGCGTGCGCCTGTGGTGATGGTCTTGCCCTCGGAGTCCACAAGAGCGAGCGTGGGGATGCTGCGCACGGCAAAGTGTCTGCCAAGCTCCTGGTTGATAGAGCTGTCCTCGTATGGCAAGGCCAACCAAGGCATGGAGGAGTAGTAGTCCGCAAAGGAGGCTTCATCTCTGTCCCATGAAATGAGGATGCAGCGCAGCCCCTTTGAATGCAGATGCTGCTTGTAGCTGTCGATAAGAAGTGGCGTGAACCCTCTGCAAGGTGGGCACCAACTTGCGGAAAAGTAGAACCCCACTGCAGAAGCTCCTCGAAGGGCATCTGCTGTCAGAACCCGAGAGCCATCTGACTTGGAGAGTAGATGCTTGCCCAACAAGCGAAGAAGCTCGGGCATTGCTAGGCACCTGCTAGTTTTGTCTTGACATGAGGCGAGCCAAGACAGCTTCAAGCAAAGAACATGGAATTGCGGCAGGCCCCCTCCGACATTGCTCAGAAACAAGCAAAACCGTCCGTTTAGGTGGGGGTAGTGCCACTGGCGGTGGTTGCGACGATGCTGCTGCCACTGCTGCTTGTCCAACTGTTGGTGCAATGCGGCGCTGCGGTGCAGGTGCGGGCGCCGGAGCCGACGCGCTTGTATGTGCTGGGGAGCTTAGGCAGCTTCTCAAGTCGTGCGGTGCCTGAAAGTTGAGCCAGTCGGGAACTTTGTGGCCCTGAGAGAGGACCATGCGTCGCATGGCCTGGCTCATGACTCTGCCAATCTCACAAGCTGGTGTTGAACAATGCTAAACATGCTCAAGCCTCCGAATTCAGAAACATTCAGCATCTTTGGAATCATGTCAATGTAAAAACATTGCAGCCGATAGTCTGCTGCTCTCCGTGGGGCACTGGCCGCTCGGGACTTGCAGCGTACAACGCATGCCGGAAAAGCCCCGAAGATCTTCTCGCGGCCGGTGACGAAAGTTACGGCGGTGCCCTCGCGACCTATCCTCCCAGTTCCTGAAACGCAAGATGATATGACAGTCAACTTACTCGCGAAAGCACTAGCAAGGCTTCCAGCTCTGCTAAATCGGTTGAGGCGCTTCCGATGCGATGCACGAACTCATCCAGGACCTAAAAGAAATGAAGAGCTGGAAACGTTCAGGCAGCAGGCCCGCGAGGGGCGGCAGGGGGCGGTGCCAGCGGTAGCTCGAAGTTGATGACATGGGTGATGCTCTCCACGTCCAAACCCCGCGCCTCGACAGGCATGCGGGAGAGACGAAGAGCCCTCTGAAGGATCACCTCGAGGCTCGGGCCGCAATGTCCGTGGCGACCAAGATATCAGCGCTTCCTTCCTTCAGTGCCTCCCCGGCAGCAATCCGCAGCTGACAAGTGTGCAAATAGGTCTCTTTCGAGCACCTTGATAGACTTGCTGCGAAAAGACTGCGTCATGCCACCATGGCAGGTCACCACCTCAACTCGAGGGTTTAGGGAGCACGAGACCGAAGCCGGATTGCCGAGTAGTGCGCTCCCTCAAACTGCTCCTTCAGGTAGCGGTATACCTCCATCACCTGCTAGCACGCGAAGGCACCGTTTTTTCTGGAAGATAGCGTGAATACTTTGGGAGTCCGGGGCTGTGCTTCACACCCAAGGCCGCAGCGGTGTCGCGTCTCCTGCAAAAGACGATGATCGTGGCCTCGCAGCTGGAGCTGTCTTCTCGAATCGCACATTCAAGTCAACTTCCTGCATGATTTGGGCCTCCTCGAACTCGCGAGCTTCGAGGACCCCTCTCAACCTGCCGTATCACGTGCTTCTTTGAGCATCATTAACACAAGTTGCTCTGGGAAACTCGGGAAACGTCGAGCAAGATGGAAAGCTTCATATATCTTTCACCGAGCGCCCAGCGTTTCCAGCTTGCATCGCACACTGGAGTCTGTCCGCAAGCTGGTGTGGTGAAGTCGTCCCTGCGGCATATATTCTCGCACACGAGCCAGAGCTGCTACATGGGTGGTTGTCAAAATTGGAATCCCTTTTTTGGGTACCTATTATAAAAAGGAACCATAAGTTTAACAACTACCCAAATGGGTATAGTATCGTGTTGATTGGGTTGCGCGGAAAGCCTTCAGAAGCATCTTGCGTTGGACCAGATCGCCGTCATCAAACTGCACTCGCCATCGACCTTAGGCATGGCAGATTCAGGAAAACACACCGTCTTCATACACATGATATGATCTAATCTAACGAGTTTGAGAGCGGAACGCCCAACCTGGAACTCTGCGATACCGCGCCTGGTCAACAAACTGTCGAAACCGACAGGTAGAGGCAACACTAGAGAAACAAGCAAGGTGGCCTGCCGCCCTTTGTGATCACAGAGTCTCCTGGTTGAAACCTTGCAAACTCAACGAGATAAGTCCCCAACTGAAAGCACAAACCGCTGAGCTCACGACTCGCGAAGCGCACGATGCGGAGGACGGGCGTCGACGAAGATGTGAGAGATAGTCGTCGGCTGCAGAGAGGCTAGCGGATGCTTCACTCCATGCCATGCCAAAGATGCATGCTTGTCTGCCTATGCTTTGGAAGGCATAACTGAGTTTCGAACCACCGGGTTAGTTTGTCCACCGGTGCAGTCGACCCAAGCCTGCCATCTCAATTGCACAGGCACTTTCCGTCACCAGAATAGCGGCCCGTCCGACATGTCCCTGGGATCCGAGCACACTGTGTTCCCAGAAAGGCTTCTGCCAATTCTCGCACTGAGAGGGGGATGGTCGCGGACCAGAACTCAGCATGCAAGAACGATGTCGGTAAGATAGAAACATGTGAACCCGACTTTGCCGCTCAACTTCGCAGAAGGTACAGCAGATCGCCCTTGCCTCACTCTCGGTGCTCCAATAACAGCAGCATCAGCAACAGCAGTAGCAGCAAGAGTTTGTACCAGGCAGGCCGGCAATGTGTGCAGCCATTCGCTGCCTGCACACTCCTAGCATCGGCAAGTGTTGACTGCCTTCTGCCACTTGAATCTCAGTCCGTTGCAGTCGTTTGTCGACCGCCAAGTTTGCCAGGCCTCCAAGC